TAATAATAATTGTGAGGATTGTTCTGTGTTAACTGAGTCTCCAGCTGTTTGGATCTGAAGTCAAGTGAGAGTCACAGACTGATTCAGCCCAACAGAAGTCTGACTTCATGTACAGCTCTGAGATCCCGTTACTTTAAACACGATCGTCTCAGATCACGTTACTTTAAACACGATCGTCTCAGATCACGTTACTTTAAACACGCCTTGTGTCATGTTTAGTTCTTGTTTTTGTTCAGTGCGCTGAGTCGACAGGTGGAATGTCAGTTTGGCAGCTGTTTTTATTGGCTCTGAGCGTCACAAACGTGTGAGAGAGGCCTCGGGCGAGCTGGCGTGCTCATGGGAGAGCGGACGATCCGGTTCAGACGAATTTGATCAGCTTCAGTTATCGACCCGTTCAGAAACACTGATGAACATGAGGCTTCACGTGTCGTGAGCTGCTGGATCAATGTTTCTCCACACGTCTGATGTTTGTCCATCAGATGATCGATGGACGTGTTGAGTCAGTAAACCTCCTGCCTCTGTCTTCAGTTTTTGAGTTTGAACCTTTTCTCGTCTTTCACAGAACTACGGCGTGGAGTCCGACAACCTGAAGACTCTGGTGGGGAAGATGAGAGCGGCTCATCACAACCTGAGCGGCGCCGTGTCGCAGCGCAGGAAGAACCCCGCCTACCACAACAAAAACTCCCATCAGCCCACCAACGAGTTCCTGACGGCCGTGGTGGAGCTGATCGGAGCCGCCAAGAGTCTGTTGGCCTGGCTGGACAGGTACACAAACACTCTGAGGACACACAACACACACACACATACAACACACACACACACAGTTAGTGCTGGTTACCGTGTGTGTGTCTGTCAGCTTGTATCAGCTTGAAGAACATTCCTGACGCTCATAAACACACCTGACTGACTCCAGATCAGGTTCAACTCGATGTGATGACGTGAGAAAACATTGATTTACTGGAATAAATCAATAAGTGACGTACTGAGAGAATCACCAGCAGCTGAGAGGCGTCATGTGTTCAATGATGTAGAAGATGAAGGAAAAACAATGAAGGATAAAGATGTTAGAGTTTCAAACAGGAACATGGCGCCGTCAGGTGATTCAAAACAAATCAAATGAAAGAATTCAAATCTCTTCTCCTCTCAGGACTCCTCTGACGAGCCCCAACGACTTCACCTCCACCAAAAGCAGGATCATCCAGCTCTGCCTGGAGCTCACCTCCACGGTGCAGAAGGTCAGTGAGACTCGGATACACCTCTCCTCCGTGTTGCCACGGAAACACGTTATTTTACATGTGACGCGTCGTCTCTGTGCGTCGCCCCGACGACCACAGTTCTCTGATGTTTCCTGTGCGAAGCTGCTTTTGTTCAAAGAGGCGGAACTGGAGTCAAACGTCTCACGACCTCTGTGACTGTTTATCGTTTCAGCTCTGATGATGATAGTGAGGATGAAGCTGATAACTTCTGATAACTTCAGTTTACACGAGCAAAGTCCTTCTGAAGAAGCGTCTCTGTCTCTTATCAGTTAAACCTAAACAAGCAGTAGAAGAGATTTATCTCAACCCTTTGGTTTTCTCCTTAAATCAAAAAATGTTTCGTGCAAACTTCTCTGAAGCTGCTTTGACTCTGAACCCCGAGGTATTCTGAAGATGGGCGAACGCAAATGTCCTAAAATCTTTCTAATAGAATAAACCGAGATTTGAGTCTCCGGGACCAGTGACCTCAGACACCTTCACAAAGGGTGTTTGAGGGTTGAGGTCAAAGTTAAGTTACTTTCAGACATTTTCCTGAAATGTTCTGGAGCTTCTGTTTGCTTCTGAGCAGGACAATTCACCGTGAGCGAGTTGTTGACGTGACAACAACCTAACGTCCGCACAGAGGTCGTAAATCAAATGTCAAATAAAAGACAGAAGACTCTAAACTTTGTGAGCAGCGACTCTCTCCCGCTCACTCAGATATTCAGCGCTCGTGTCTCCTCCACACACGAGACTGCAGAGCTCGGAGCTCTGAGGCGTCGCCCGGCCGCGCTGTCATGCAATCATCCTGTCAGCCCGTTTGCAGGAAGCTGTTATTTCTGCGACCGCAGGAGGAATCCTGTCAGTGTCTGTGGGAGGCGTCAGCGGTGGGTCCCTCCCTCTGGTTTCCCTCTCCTGTCATTTCTCAAATATTTGTTCTCCCGCTGATTCCTCTCTTCTCTTTTTCTCTCTCCCGTCTGTTTACCACCATCATCGTTTTTATTAAAACCGAATCTGAGAAGGAAAAATGCTTCATTTGACACAGAATCTTTCGGAAACATAAATCCCCTTTGTGGGTTTTACCCACAATGCACAGTTGAATTGTCGTTGCCAGTAAATATCGATGAATCTCAAACTGTTGGAGACTTTTAACAGATTTAATTTTGTGAGATAATTTGACAGATTTATGTCGTACAGGTTTTGTTGGTGTCAGTGAGTGAAATATAAAAAACTTCCAGCTCATCTTTAGATGAGTCTCTTCATGTGGTGCAGAGCGCTTTTAGAATAAAGATTTTATCAGTGATTGTTTCATCAGGATGTTTGATGAGCATCATGGAACCCGAGGAGACGTTTTTTTACCTCAACCTCATTTCTTCATCAGCTCCACATCAGAAGTTATTTCATCATTTGATTCATCTCGTTCACAATAAGTGTCACTTCACGGTTTGTTCAGAGCAGCGTCTCTCGTCACATCCACATGTTTTCTTTTCCACTGCAGCCTCGGTGCGTGTCTGCATGTACGTGCATGTCTGATTTACCTGGCGCTCGACTCAGAACCTCAACGTGATCTGACTTCCTTCCACTGAAACTCAAACTGTTTTTTATCAGCTTTAATTAAAATTCTTCAAGTTTCTCAAAATAAAACATTTTCATAAAATAGTGTCTGACTCAGATATTTGTGTCTCACACACAGAACCTCCAGGAGGTTCCTGGAGAATATCAGGAGTTCAGTTCATGTCTCAAAGCAGCTTCATGTAAACGTTTGTAGGATTTTAGTCAATAAAACTAATATTTAATTGTGTGAACTTGAACTTATTCCCAGAAAAGGAACAGGACCTCAGTGTCCTCAGTTATAATTGGGACTTTGTTTAAATGTGTCTGTTTGAAGGTTTGGGCCTAAAATCTGAAATAAAAGTTGTGTTGTTTTGAACAAAGCTCTTCTTTGTCACGAGGACACAATAAAGAGTCAAAGAGTGGAAACATGTGACTTTCTCTTCCTCATTTTCATGGATAATTCTCTGTGGTCTGTGTGTTCAGGCTGAAAACGCTCAACAAGGGGAAATATCTTCAATAAGATTATGAAAATAAAAACTATCTGAAATAAATCAATGTGTAATTTCAACTCGTCTGCTGTCCAGGAATATTTGATCAGTCGGACTGAAACGTTCTGATGATTGTGTTTTAACTGAAACAGCGTGACGTCCGTCAATCAGTGTCTCTGTCATTTCAGGACTGTACTGTTTATGAGATGGAGGAAAAGATTCTGGAAGTGGTGAGTCCTGCTGCTCTGCACGGAGACGCTAATCTGAAGCATGAAACACACACTTCCTGTTGCTGTCCTGTGTGTGTGTGTGTGTGTGTGTTTGTGTATGTGTGGGTGTGTGTGTTTATTCAGCTCAGGACCATCCACTTCCTGTCTGAGATTACAACACTTCCTGTTGGTTTTCGGAGGAATGTAGATTCAACTGATTCATTTCAGTCACTTTAAACTCAACCGTCAGTTTCCCGTTTGACCTCTGACCTCTGACGACCCTGATGTTTGAGTTTAGTTGCATAAATCAACATTTTCAGGAGATGACATCACAACATTTTTGACACCGAACAAATGTTACTGAACGATTTAAGTAGAATGAAGACGACAGGATGAGACCAAATGAAACAACCGTTAAATAAGACATCAGCATCGTACGAGCGGGAATTAATTAAGTGACTGAGCATTTTTAATTGTATAATTCTGTTTTTATTATATTTTTTAAATTAGTAGTAATTTTTATATTTATGTCCGACGTTAATGTGTTGGCAGGTCTGTAGCTCAGTGACACGTCGAGTTTCAGTGAATCAACTCTTGAGTCACCTGAACAAACAAAGTCAACTGAAACAGGAAACACTGTAAATATAGATAAATTAGAAACACACACACACACACACACGGACACACAGACACACACACACACACACACGGAGCTGTGTAAAGGTTCAAGAGAAGTACGACATGAATGAGACTGTAGTTTAGAAACTGATGTTAAGTAATGAAAGTTTTCAGCCGGACTGAATAGAACTGATTAATGTTGCACAGGAGCTTGTTTTCCTGGTTTACTTGTAATTTCCTGTGTGTTTATCTGATGTCCTCCTGCTTCCCATGACCCCGGCCCCCCCGCTGCTCCAGGCTTTACTGTCTCGTCAGTGTGATGCTGATGATATGAGACCGCTCAGGCCTCAGGCCGCTGCACCGTCCTGTCGGTGACACGGCTCAGTGTCTCTCACTCGGAGGTCAGAGGTCGGACGGCTTCAGTGGGTTCAGACCTCCACGCTGACAAAAACATATTCTCATTAAAAAGATGATCAAACTGGATTTTTCTTTTTTTTTTCTTTTAAACCTATTTTATAATTT